ACTATAGAGATAGCTCAGGATAACCTGAGCCACTCTAACTAGAAGCTTTATCAAAAAGGAAAGTTTTAAGCCTAGCCTTAAAAGTAGACAGGGTGTCTTAATAAGGGTGTTAGACTTAAAAAAAACAACAAAAAAAGGAATATTTTGACTTTAAAGGTCATTGTTGTAACGAAGACGTCCCTCTGCTCAGGTTTCAGAACGTTACGAGAGCAGCAACCTGCTGACAGCGCTGCCCTCCTCCTTCCTGGAGCCTCTGCTGTCCTTCACCCTGATGGAGGATCCAGAGATCCGCCTCCTGGTTCTGTCCATCCTCACCTCGCTCATCGATCGTCACCAGAACGCTGCCAGGATCCCCACAGTCAGGTCATCTATGCCTCCATCTAGTGGCGAATGAATGTTACTGCAGTCGGTTACAGGTTTTTGATCAGATCTCAGCTAAAATCAGTTTAGATGAACCAAAGTAGAAAAACATTTTATTCTTTTGTTTTAGTGTAACGTTTGATGCATCAGTGTTGAAGCAGAAGGAGGACAGATGCTCCAGACAGGACAACCTGTTCATTAGGAAGGTAAGGACACTGGATGCACCTCTGGTTTGGTTTCCTGCCTTTCATCCAAATATATTTACATATTAAGATGTAACCATGTAGTTAGAATAAAAAAAAAACTACCGTTATTTTCGGACTTTTTCCCCATTTTTCGACTTTACGGGTTATATAACAATGCGGCTTATCTATGGACTTTTACAGCTAACGGCCACCAGGGTAATACGGTGACGACCTCATTATGAAAAACATACGCTTTTAAGTTAAAGGCAGCCATTTTGGCAGCAAACGAAGGAAATAGAACCGCTGCACGTAACCTTGGAATCAACGAGTCAATGGTGAGACGTTGGAGACGCCAGCAGGAAGAATTGTCTCAATTCAGTTGTGTTGAAATGTTAATAAATAGGAGCTTCCCCAAACAGTTGCCTCTTTCCTGACAATCCTCTCTGTGCACGAACCATATGGTAATTAAACATAAAAAACCTGCGGCTTATAGTCTGAAAATTACGGTACTTAGAAGGAAGACGGCTTCTCTGGTTCATCCAACTACGATAGAGGGAAGAGCAGCGTAAAGTATGGGGTAGGTTCTATGTTCAGAGATCCTTGCTTTGTGGGTTTCTGCCGGTGCAGCACGCTCAGCGTCTCTACAGACACATCTATCTGGCCTGTAAGGAGGAGAACAATGGATCCAACCACTACAAGGCGCTCTTCAGCCTAATGGCTGTTCTCAGCGTGGAGCTGCTCAACGAGGAGGTGCTGGTGGACCTGATCCGACTGACGCTGGCCTTGCAGGTGACGACGGACCCCCTCAGAGGGATTGCTGTTACCACGTCACTGTCGTTTCTCATGAGCTGCTCTGTGATTGGTCAGGAACTTGGAACGTCCAATCAGGAGAGTCTCTCTTTCTACAACCGCTGCAGTCTTCATGCCGTCTGCGCCGCCTTCTTCCATCTTCTGTCGCAGCTGGGCCCACCTCCTCCTCTTCATCAGCACGTCGCTCAGGTGATCTGAGGGTGAGAACAAAGCAATGGAGGCAGTGAAGCTCCACATCTACTGTAGCTTTATGTGTCTGCAGGTCATAGAAAGCCGTTGGAAGGAGGCGCCACACCTGCTGCCTGAAAACCTCTGGTGTGACCAACCCAGGTACAGAAACAAGCTGCAGAGATGATCGGGGAGGGGGTTCCATTGATTCATTTGGGTTTTGATGTTGATCAGGCTTCCAAAGGGTGATCTGAAGGTGGACAAAGCTTCTCTGTTCGTCCAGTCAAAGATCTGCGAGGCGCTGACAGGAAGCAGCTATAGTGCGCAGTGTGAACGCATCAACACACCTTATACGCCTCAACTGATGGGTAAATGCACTACTGACACATCTCAGGTTTACAGAGAATATTCTTCACTTCAGAGGATGAAAGAGAGCACGTCCAGTTAGAGAAACAAAGGCATTAGAGATTAAAGATATAAAAGGGGTCCCTATGTCCTCCAGCAGTCTAAGCCTATAGCAGCAGAACTATAGAGATAGATCAGGATAACCTGAGCCACTCTAGCTATAAGCTTTATCAAAAAGGAAAGTTTTAAGCCTAGCCTTAAGACTTGTACTACCAAAGGTTTCTTAGGCTACGTTTACACTGCAGCCTGAAGTGACCCAATTCCGATTTTTTTGCCCCTATGTGACCTGTATCTGATCTTTTTATGACATTCATCCGACCTACACGTCATTGATACTTGACAAATGTTACTAAACGTTACTAATCTGCGTCCTACTAAGCGGAGGC